TTCATGGTTGAGTACGTATGCGATGGCCATCGGTAAGTCGATCGGGTAGACCGGGACTGAGTCAACGAGTCGGTTTGGGAATCGGGATTCGTCTGAAGGTTTAAAAACCTTGAGTTGGGATGCGTGGAACGTGCTACGGATCCCGCGAGATGTACAGCGTTCCGGGACTCGGGCAAGCTTGTACGTCGAGTTGGCTGGGTCAAACCCGAGGCAGGTGAAAGGCCCGATATACTTCGGGGCCCATGGGTCAGGGTAGGTGGGTGCATCGCAAGGGGTTGCGATAACATGTCGGGCATGGCGTTCGCCTTGCCTGCGGTGTGCTCAGCCGTGTATGCAAATTCCGAGAAGTAGAGATACATGCGCGTCTGTTTTCTAGACAGCGTTGGGAGTGTTGTGAACTTCGCAAGAGTCTGGCTGTCCGTGAGGACGATGAATGGACGTCCTCGCAGCTTTGTTTCGAAGCGTTGAAATCCTTCGTACATGCCCTGGAGCTCTTGGTTCTGGGTGTTGTAATTGAATTGGGAAGGCGAGAACTTTCGCGAGTGGTAGCCCGTGGATGCTTAGCACGTAGCCGACTCCTGTACCTGAGGCGTCGAATTGGAGGAAGAGGTACTTCCCTTTGGATTCGTTCTCTGGCACCTTTTCTCCTTCGGCCGGGAGGGGTGTCTAGGTGGACTGGGAAGGTACCATCGGGTGCAAGCTCGTCTGAGCGAATGCAGGTGAGTTTGGCACTGTCGTCAAATGCAGCCTTGATACTTTCAAAAGCGTCGCTGCAAGCTCGGGACCATCTCCAGGGGCTGTTCACCCCTGTCAGTGCATCCAAGGGCGCCGCTAGCTCGGCAAGGTGCGGGATTGATCGATGGTTATATTCCACCGCTCCTAGGAAACGTTGAAGATCCTTCTTGTTCTTAGGAGCTGGGGTAGCTCGGATGCCAGCCGCCTTTTCCGGCTGCATCGAGCTTTCTCCCGGGCGAATCTTCCTGCCCAGAGAGTCGCGAATCTCTGTAGCGAATTTGAACTTTGAGATAGGAATGCGGATGCCGTGGACTTCGGCTCGCTCGAGAGTCTCGCGGACATCCCGTTTGTGTTCGGCCCAGGTATTAGAGATGGGCCACAGGTCGTCGGCGTAATGTTTGATCTTGCGATTGATGAGTCCAGCAAAAGCAAATGAGACGAGCCGGTGTAGTGTAACCGTGCTGTTGCGATCGCCTTGTTGAGCGACAAGTGAGTACAGGATCCCGTTAGGGGTGCTGAACGCGGTCTTCTTCACATCTTCGTCCTTGATGCGACTTTGTTGGAAAGCACCTTGAAGGTCGATCTTCGTGCAGAAGTTCGCCGCTGCAACTGCGTTTACTTTCAGGAACTGAGGCCGAGGCACGAAGTGCGTAAGTACGAGAGCCGATGAAGATAGTAAAGATAGTTGGAGAAAGAAGATAAGCGCTAAGGGAGCGCGCGCGAGGCAGGCTCGAGACGCGCGGGGCGACTAATATCAACAACTAGTAACTAATCATAATCGGGAATACCAGTGGGATGAAACAGCAATATATTGACACCCCCCCGTGCTGTCATACCACTGCACCTCGCAAACCCAAATTCTCCCGATGGAACATGAACGGCTTGGGACCCAAGGCTTTGGTGAAAATATCGGCAATCATGTCGCCGGTGGCGATGTAGCGGACCTCGATCTCCTTCTCAGCTACCCTCTCGCGGACGTAATGTTCCGAGATGCGAACATGACGAGACCCCTGATGGTTGGTCGGGTGCTGCGCAAGAGCCAGCGAACCTTGGTTGTCCCCGTAGAGTACGACTGGACCGGAGACCGGAGCGCCAAGTTCAGCCAGGAGTTCGCTCAGGTGGATGGCATCACCGCTTGTGTACGAAAGAGAGAGGTACTCTGCGTCGGTAGTGGACTTGGCCACCCTGTGCTCGCGTTTGGAGCACCAAGCAATAGCGGCTCCGGACAAGATGAACGCGTAGCCCATGGTCGATCGTGAGGTCGTTAGACAGGCTCCCCAGTTCGCATCCGAGTAGCCACGGAGTGGTTGGCTGGTCTTGCGATAGGTGAGGCCCAAGTCCAGCGTGCCTTTGATGTAACGGAGGACCTGCTTGATGGCTGTCCAATGCTCCGGGCCAGGCTGCTGGGAGAAGCGAGCGAGGTAGCTGACCACGAAGGCGAGGTCCGGACGAGTTCCAACTGCGGCGTACATCAACGAACCGATGGCCTGCAAGTAGCGCGTACGATCCTGAGGAGTGGCCGCCAAGTCCTCGAAGTCAAGGACGACACCTGGCTGCATTGGAATACTTGCCGGCTTGGCATCGGTGAATTGGAACCTGGCAAGGATGTCCCGAAGGTAGCGCTCTTGTGAGAGCGTGATAGAGCCGTCTTGTCCACGTTTGACTTGGATGCCTAGAATATATTCGGCAGGTCCGAGACGTTTGATGCCGTATGCGAGTTCCAGCGCGTCCATATCACGAAGGACGAAGATAGGAGAGGTGAGCCGGACGAAGGGGCTCGAGACGAGGGCAAGGGCGAGTGACGAGTTGAGAGGTGTTCTAGGGACTTCTCACAAGAGGCGAGGACGAGGGACGAGTGCAAGGATGTGACCTTTGACGAGATTCGAGTTGCAGAAGGGAAAGAGAGAAGTGAGCTACGGAACTGGGAAACTAGACCAGAGGAGTCGGGGACGAGGTGGCGAGCTTGAGGAGGCGAGGCACGAGGATCACGTAATAGTGTTGAGGCCAAGGATCACGTAATAGAGCTTGGTTGATGTTCACGTAAGAGTCGGGGGCGAGAGGGTTGTGAGCGTATAGTTGGAGGAGAAGAAGGCAGTGCAGGTGCCGAAGCGGGGAGAGGAGGTCCGAAGCGCGGGAAGGCCCAAGTCACGCGGATGACGTGGGTGCTGAGAGGCCGAACTTGGAGTGGCGAAACTCCCATTCGTGACACCTTCGTTCTCAATCTCGAGGCGAGCCGGCAGGGCGCTAGGTCACCCACAAGAGTTCGGATGGTTGGAGAAGCCTCCTCGCACAGGACATAGGACATCAGCAAATATCGAGTCTTGGGTGGCGGAGACAGCAGCGACAAAGACAAGAGCCTGCATACTCGTCGACGAGTGATCTGTCGCACCGAGTTGAGTTTTGAGGTCGGGGCCGATGGAGAGGAGATCTCCGTCGAGCAGAGCAAGTCCTGCCGAAAAAGTCTGGATCCTCAAGTAGAAAGAGTCGACGAGCATTCTGCCGGGAGACGGACTTAAAACGGTTGCGAGTGATTCGGAGTCCAAAAAGTCGAGTTGAGCGCAGGCGGAAATCAAAGACCTGGTGGAGCAAATCAACCGTCAAACATGAGCAATAGTGCACACACTTGCAACACGAGAAGTGGAGGGAGGGAAGGACTTCAGGTTGAGGCCATGCACTAACCTTTCGGACGTTTGCGCGCTTAGTGACTGCCAAACGAGTGCGTCGCTACCAAGCGAGGTGACAAGCGAAGAGAGAAGGGTTGGAACACCGTGCGTGGTTGAGCGCAGTCCATGACCGCATGTCCAGAGTTGGTGAAGCATGTACAAACATGCAAGTCGCCGAGGTGGGATGGTACGTATCAGGCTGGTCGAGCGAATCGCCGAGGTCGATTGAGAGTACGAAGGATCGTCACGATCCGACGCTGAAATCGAGCGCCGAGTGGTCCGGAGAAGCCCGAGTCGGGACTTTATGCTCGACGTGCACAACGTAATAAAGAGTTCGAGTAAGATGTGAAGCAATGAGGAGGTGTTCCGTGGCACATCTCAGGAGCTTTGCCGTGAAGTCGATCGGTCGGAGCGATCGACGAGGTTGAGAGTCAGCGTGCAAGTCCGGTCGAATTGACCGGCAAGGAAGACGAGCGGGAATGTGAGATGTTGAGGTGCCATGAGGTGAAACGTAGCGCTTAGTGGTGTGGACGGATGACTCGACGAGCCGGATCACGAGGGCCGGCGATGGAGTGAGTCGCGGCGGGGTCGAGACGGGGTGATAGTGCTTGAGGCAATGCGGGTCTCCCATCTCGACATCGACGCACTCGTGCTTCAAACTGGTGGCGAGAGGTACCGAGGGATGGTGATCTGCGGGCTCAAATGCTGGGCGTGCGAGCTTGTAAGCATCGCTGCGAAGTTCCGTTCGAAGGAGCGCTCCTAGTCCGGGTCGTTCGTGACCATCAATCTACACTGTGCACTGTGGGCGGTCTGAGCCCGTCGTCGGTGGTCGAGCACGTGGTCCCGTCGCGACGGCTGTCAGAAAGGAAGGGCTGTCGACGTTCGAAGTATGGTTGAGTTAGAGCTCGAGTTGACCGAGCGAGTTGGAGTGGCGATTCGGGCAGGGTGGGCACATCGAGGCGGACCCATGTCAGTTGGTGCTTGATCGTCCATCGAATAGTGCTTGATCGTCGCTTTGATAGAACTGAAGCAAGTTGCCTGAGAGATGGACGGGTCCAGCTGATCATCGGAGTGCCGAACGGTCGAGCCGAGACAAAGCTGCTCGATGAAATGGCTCGAGTGCCGAGCCAGCCAAAAAGAGCGCCGAAGAGTCAAGCTGATCCCAAGAAAATGACAGAACTCGGGTCGAGCGAAGTCGTATTGGCGATCGTAGTATTGAATCACAAGCTCGTGGCATGGGGTGGGGGCGATGTTTGAGCAAGTCGGTGCGAAGCTGAGGATGGGCGACGTGCGAGTCGGATCTAGCGCGCCAAAAATGTCGGGGCAATGCTGTGAAACACAGATGAGTGTTTGTAAACGCGTCAGTATTGAAGGGACTCGAGACGATGGAGACCCGGGTTGGAGAGGAGAGCATACCAGACTGGGGTCCTGATTGATCGAGCTGACCCGCCGGTGTGGATGCGAAGATCACGGGATAGTGTCGAGCTGGGTACGGCGACACAGAACAAGATGAGGTGAGGTGAATCGTATCGATAGGTGAATTGCCATAGGATTCGAGAATGGGGCGATCGTGGGGTCGGCGCTCATGATGAGTAGGTCAGGTCAGTTGATGACCGTGAGTCCATGTCGATCGAGTTGAAGGTCGACGGTTGAGGCGGTCGCCATCGCGATGGGCGAGCGGGTTGTTACTTCGCACGTCTTGGTGATGGGGTGAGCACGGACAGGGGGCGAGATCGAGCTGGAGAAGTTTGCCAGTTCGGTCGGTTGATCGATCAATCGGACCGAAGGTCGATGATGGTGCGAAGCTTCGAACGGGCATCGAGCGAATGCTTGCCGAGTCGTGCAATACATGTTCCAACAGATTCCGAGAGCTTCCCGCGTCGATGAGACTCTTCGATTCAAAGAAAGATATGTGACAGCGAGTGATTGCACTCGAGTGATCGGTCAATGTTGACGACGAGAGTGAACGATGTGGAGTTGGCGGGGGAGATCGCCACCGGTCGACAGTGGTGTTCGAGGTGCGGCGATATTGGTCGAGTGACATTTGCATCGATTCGAGACCTGGGCAAGGGTGAGCGACTCCTCGATGGTGTTGACGAGGAAGTCGCATTGTGATCGCAGAGTATGGTCCTACAAGTCACAGAGCGGTTCGGTGCGAAGCTCGGATGCCAGCGAGTCGGCCAACGCGCGATCTGAACTAGAGTGATGAGCAGCAAAGACGATCACGAGGTGAGCGAATGAAGTGAGAGCTTGGTACTATGTGAATGAAGAGCTCACCCACACTCATCGGTCGAGTAGCAAGTCGGCGATCGGGGTGATCGAGGCGATGCGGTGACTGAGCACGTGTCTGACCGAGTACGCTCGAGTGATGCATCGACGTAAGGTAGGACACTGCTGAAAGGGTCCACGCCCTCTCGGATCGATCTGGTCATCGTATCGTGTTGAAGATGGCAGTGTTGGACTTCATGTTGACCGTGCTGTGCGACGTAGCGCGGGGCCCACCTCAGTCGGCTTGAGGTGACACGTTGCGCCGAAGTTGAGAGAGATCGAGTTGCATCTTGCGGATTGACTGGCGCATGTGACGTCGAGTTGTGGCGTGGTGCGATCAGTGCCGAGTCCAAGTCGAGTCAAGTGGTGCGAGTGAGTGGGGAGAGGGAAAGGAGCGTCGGCGCGCGCGACTCTGAAGTCGAGCCGTTGGCTGACCGAACTCGGCTGAACTCGGCTGAACTCAGGCAGACTCTGCGACGGGAAAGCTTAATTAGGCGCGCTCGGCCGAGAGATCCGACGGTCTCCGATTTGCTCGAGTCCAGTCGACCTGTTGCACTTCAAGACTCGAAGATCGAACAGGGATCCGAGGGAACTTCAGAGCTAGAGAGAGCGAGTACCTCCGAACTCGGTGCGAGGGCCCGGGCGAGTCGGCCGGCGTCCGCGGCAAAAAGGTCGACTCGTCCAGGTCACTGAGCACACTCGTACCCTCATCAATCTTTTACTCAAAGGCTATTCCCAAAATATGTACGAGGTGCGTCGGAATGTTTGAGGGCAAACACATCTGATCTGGGAGCAGATCGTTGGTCCGATTACTCGGAGTCGAGATGAGATGAGCTCTCAAGTGGTATCTGGCGGCCTGGATACAGTTTGAGAGCTGGCTTTCTCCAACAGATCGTCGGTGAAAACTCACTGCGGCCGGCACTTCGTTTGCGGACAAGTTCGGTCACTTTCGACGATGATCGCAATGCTCTGTTAGGTCGATCTGACGACTTTTTCTCGGTACAGAACCATTCGTTTGAAATAGTCAAGGGATATGGTGATGGCGCGGAGAAGATCGTCCAGTTAGCACTGTCGGCAAAAAGGCTCGATGGTCGCCGAGCCGAGAGACTAGTAAGGAGTAATTGACTCGTTCTCGCAGCCCCATCCGGCAGATAGATGTTTCTCATTCTCAGAACACTCGAATATAGTTGCCCATACGCGTGCAGTGCTAGATTGCGGTCCTGTTGAGGCAGTATTTTCATCGGGACCGGTCTTCGAGATCACAAAGCCAAGTGATCCGCAGCACACATGATCTAGGTCGATGTGGCCCTTTCCTACAGGTCATTGCTGCAATCCATATACCTCGCATCGAAGCATGTTGCAAGCTACATGAATACTTTTGAGAGATCTATCACATGGTGGTCACTGTGTTGGAGTCACTTTCGAGTGCTGATTTGGAGTTGAAAAGTCGCGCAAGGAGGTCGGCTCTCGATCGCGCAAACTCGGCCCCTTTAGTTTTCGCGGGTCGATCGGATAGTGATCTTCGACACTCGAAGGAGGACTTTCTTAATGAATTTTTTCAATCTTGACGGAAGAATCCATGCGGTGCTTTGCGGTGTCAAAGCATACTTTCAGTCATGATCGTCGGTGAGGGATGCGGGTCACGGAAGTTCGACTTTGCGTGAAAGTCGAGGAAGCCCCTCCCTGTTGAATCACGACCTACCTCTGCAAGCAGCTGTTCTTCACACTTGATTACTTGCTAAAGCCGGAAAGAGGCTATAGTAAAAGGCTAGGGATGCGAGTGCAAGGTTGACGCTATGGTACAGCAAAGCGGTCGATCAAAGATGAAATGTAAAGATAAGGGGAAACGATGGAACCGAGACCGAAGACGAGGGAGACGAGATACGAGAGAGCGACCGGAACGGCCGAGAGACGAGAGAGAGACGAGAAAGGAGCCCAAACCGAGAAACGAGACCGAGTATGAGAACGAAACGCTGAGACCGGAGACTGGAGACGAGAGACGAGACTTGAATCACGCAGAAAGTGAGAACCAGCTAAGATGCTGTATAGGATCCTAGAAGTGGTCTGCCTAAGAACAAGAAGCAAACTCTCCTCAAACGTTCCGATCATTCAGGCCGCTGCGCTCCTTTCATTCCCCTTCACTCCTTCATCCGCGCATCCGGCCCGGTCTTCCACTCAAATCCTGCCACATGATTTGTTGCTGACGGTCAATCCTTGAGTCATCGAAGTGCTGAGTTTACTCGGGACCGCTTTATCGCTGAGAAATCTGCCGAAACCGGTGTTTGATCCTGCCCGAACCGGTGTTGACCTTGACAATTTGAAACGACTCCGGAACTCGGTCCCGCCACAACCGAAATGACTCCTGAACCGGGCCGGCTACATCCGCTGCTTCTGACGGGATCCCGAGTACCACAACGCCCACTCTAAACGGACCGCGGCATGTCACTGCAGCTTGGTCGGCATGGGCGACGCATACGCATGAGCGACAAATACGATCGATCCAGTGTGTCACTTTGACATACTCCGACACAGTTTTGCTTGCGTTCAGCAGTTGGTAGGCCAGAGTTTATGTCGGATTTGATACAAGAACATCCCATAGAGGTCGTTTGCGGCAGAACCATGTCCGAGGCCGCAGGAAAACCCGGCAAGAATGGGTCAAGAAGATCCAAAGGTTCTCAGACACGCACACATGAGCTCAAAGACCACCTGGTATTGCATCAAAGAGCACATCCTCAATTATTCGTACCCCAGAAATGCAGGGAAAGAAGTGAAAGGAGCAAACGTCGCTCGAGCAGTTGGCCAAAGAGTCAAGGTGGTCGTTCGTTCTCAATGTTAAGGCGAGCGGGCAGGGCGCTAGGTCGCCCAGAAGAGTTCGCATGGTTGACGAAGCCTCCTCACACAAGTGATCGGCGATTGTCGAGTGTTGGGTGGCGGAAGCAGCAGCGGCAAAGACGAGAGCTTGCATGCTCCTCGACAAGGGATCTGTCCCACCGAGTTGAGTTGTGAGGTCGGGGGCGATTGAGAGGAGATCGAAGTCGAGCAAAGCAGGTCTCGCCGAAAAAGTCTGGATCCTCAATTGGAAAGAGTCGGCGATCATTCATCCATGAGAGCGAGAAACGGTTTCGAGCGATTTGGAGTCTGAAGAGTCGAGCTAGGCGCAGGCTGGAATCTGAGAGCGAAAGAAAAGTCAAACATAAGCAAGAGTGCACCTACTTGCTAAACAAGGTGTGGAGGAAGGGAAGGCCCTTAAGTTGATGGCACGCACTGACCTTTCGGACGTGTGCTCGCTTAGTAAATGCCAAACGAGTTTGTCGACACCAAGCGAGGTGAATGCATGAAGAAGCGAAGCGAGGGGAGATGGAACACCGTGCGTCGCTGAGCGCAGTTCATGAACGCATGTCCAGGGTTGATGAAACGTGTACGATCGTGCAAGTCGGAGAGGTGGGAGGGTGATCCCACGTAACAAGCTGGTCGAATCGCCGAGGTTGATTGAGAGTGCGAAGGATCGTCACGGTCCACCGCCGAAAGCGAGCGCCGAGTGGTGTGGAGAAGCCCGAGTCGCGAAGCTCCCGAGATGTGCCACGGAACACCTCCTCATTGCTTCACATCTTAATTGGACTCCATATTACGTTGCGCACGTTGATCCATAAAGGTGTGAAGCAGTGAGGAGGTGTTCCGTGGCACATCTCGGGAGCTTTGCCATGAAGTCGATCGGTCGGAGCGATCGACGAGGTTGAAAATCAGCGTGCAACTCCGGTCCAATTGACGGGCGACGCAGGCGGAAACCAAGATGTTTGAATCTATGAGTTGAAACGTAGACGATCTGTGTTGCTCTGACAAGCTGGATGACGAGGGCGGGCGATTGAGCAATTCGCTCGCAGCGGGTCCAAAGCTGCTGGGCGAGCAAGCGTTCCTGGCGGATCTCCAGTGGCAAGAAGGCCGACACTAGTCTGTGTGCTGGAAGCTTGTCGCAAGATAAACCGGGGGGTGGCAATGCGCGAACTCGGATGTGGGCTATGCGAGCGTGTGAGCGAATCGGTGCGAAGCTCCTTCGAGGGAGCGCTTCCTTTCCGGGTCTTCCGAGACCAACGATCTGCAGTACGCGGTGACACGGCAGATCTTCGTCTCATCAGCAAGGAGTGAAAGTCGCAAGTGAGAGCTAAGATCGAAACAGCTCACGGTGGGCGGTCTGAGCGAGTCGTCCGAGGTCGAGCAATTCCGGTCGCGATGGCTCAAGTGAGCAATCGACATAGCCCGGACTTATATGTAGACACTTTCGAGTTCGTCGTCGAGTCGTTCCGATGGGTGATGGTGAGGGTGTTGCAGTTGCTGAATGGGTTCCGCTTGCCTCAGCCGGTTCCGGGTGACACATCAAGTGCCGGGTCGAGCAACTCGAGCCGCATGTACCGAGCAAGTGACGTCTCACCGTGAAGGCAAAGCGTTGCGTCGTCGTGTCTTCGTGCAATGAGAGAAAGACGAGTCGAGTCGATTGCCACGAGAATCGGCGAATGTCGAGTCTTGGGTGGCCGAGGCAGCAGTGGCAAAGATACGAGCTTGCACCATCGTCGATTCGCAGATCGAGG